TCAGGATCCAGAGGCAAGCCACTGACATCATCAACCACAGAAGTGGGCTTGATGACCCACACCTCCCGATCACCGAAAGGCATGGCTACCCCCTCATCGGGGTTACTGTGCTGAGCGGGTGCTTTTCTCTTAAGCTGAGCAGCAAACAAGCCGACCTAACCGTAATCAACAGGACTCAGGTGATGCTTCTGGTCCGGAATCACTGAGAACATGAACTGAGGCATGCTCGCACTGTCAAGGACATCCGGGACCTGAGCAACATCCATGGGCACAGTGTAGTCATCCATATCAACCTGATCCATCTCAACGTCCCCACCAGGGAGATACTCCTGAGGGAGCTCAGAGTCTTGGGCTTCTTGTGAGGGTTCGGGCACCAGGTGCTGCAGATCCTCAGGAACAGGAGACCCAGGAAGACTGGGCTCGTAGTCCAAGCTCTCTTCTTCAAACTCCACAACTTCAGGGTTCGGGTTGATTTTTACTTGAGGCTTTTCAGGGGCTTGTTGCTGTTCAGGATTGTCAAGATCACCGAGCGTATCCCTGATGTAATCACGAAAGCGAACTTGCAACGCCTAGAGTGGAAGCGCGATCTACCTAAGCATCCCGGACAACGTGCCGTTTTGTTGTTTTCAAGCCATTCAGGCGCCGGTTGCGGCAACGGGATTGCTTTCCTCGGTAGGGCCACCCCTGGTAGGCTTTCATAATCAGGCTCATCAGGATTAGCCTCGGCGAGAGTGGGTAACAAGTTCGACGAGAACGTCACTGGGTAGGCCATCTTGAGAGCCCGGGCGACGCATCTTTTCATAGACCCATTTGAGAGTCTGATCATGCAGTGATGCCCTTGCCCACCAATCACGGGGCCGAGATAGGCACCAATGTCGTATCGACCGTCAACTTGTGATGCAAGGTGTTCTGAGGGCTGAATGTACATGATGCAAGCGAAAGGAAACAACAAGTGAGGCGTGTGACTCTCACCCAAAGCTCGCTGCAAAGGACTCAACAGTTGACCCTGTGACGTTCCGAACCGGTTGTGTGAAGCAGCCGCATGACTGTGAAGCAATTCCATCGCTTCCTCATTTGCCAACAATTTCAAGCCACTCACGCCCTTGGCGTGAAGCTCGTTGGCCAAAGCGGTTTCTTTAAGCGTGCGGATTGCTCTCTCAGCTACCGGGGCGTGCCTGCTAGGAGAGGTTTTGGTAGAAACCGAACTCCCACCTGTAACCTCAACAACCTCGGCTGCTATGGCTGCCAAAAGCGGTTCCCCGTCATGTACAACATGAACTTCTTTGAGACCGAATGATTTGAGGAATTTGACTAGCTTCCCCACGGTGACTTTTCGGTAATCTCCTGCATAGGTAGCAGCTGTGCCTACACAATACGTCGGTACGTGTACCACAGCGATCAAACGGATGCATCGATACCAGTATTGATCCATCTGCACCTCAAGTGGGTCGACACTTTTGCGTGTTCGGGCGGGTGAGAGCCCTTTAGACCTTACACAGCTAGGACAGCCACCCCAGTAGGGGGTATGACCCTGACGTTGGTGGCGCAATCTAGCTTCGGCACCGATGTTTTCGGGGAGAGCTTCTTCAGGGTATACCGGGGGTTTGGTGTTGTTCGGGGTGGTTCTCTCTAACCCTTCACGGTCATCACCATCATCATCAAAAAGCTGCTCTAGCTCTTCAACACCAATGGCACCACCCACATCACCTGAATCAAGCAATGGGCGACCGACCGACATGCACGCTGAACTACCTACTGGCACGCAGGCGGCACGACCTACCTCCAAGCAAGCTAGACTACCAGCTGGGCAACCTACCTGCACGCAAGCTAGACTACCTACCGGAACACAAGCTGGGCAACCTACCTGCACGCAAACTGGACTACCTAGCTGAACACACGCTGGGCAACCTACCGGTGGCACTTCTCTGACAGCGGCACTCTGCAAGAGAACTTCACGAGCTCTCTCTTTTGGCTGCTGCTCAAGAGCGGCTAAAGTTACAGGTCGCTGTCGCTGCTGATTGCCTCGACCTCTTCGAGGTCTACAAGCGGAGGAACCAAAGGTGCCGGTTTCGCTGCCGTTGCCAAACTGGTCGGCGGAGGCACAAATCGTTCCTCTGGCGTGGGCATCTCGATGGTGTAGTGAACGCCCACCACAGCCCGTGGCTTTGGCGCATGCTTGGATGCCGGCATCAGCTTCTTTGTTATAGGCCTTGGTGTGGCTGCCGGCGGCATGAACGACGGCCTTGATGTTGGAAATGGCGCCCGGAGAGAAGGCGCTGCTGTGGGCGTTGGCATCGGCGCTGAACTCGGCGCCACTGGTATTGTACTCGGCCTCGGTGCTGTGGTCGGTCGGGCCGGATAGGGCCTGTAGCGGTAATCCATGGGGATCTGCGGGGGCACGTGCATCTGCATGGGCACCGGAATCTGCATAGGAACCTGCATCTGCATTGTTGCTGGCACCGACCTTTGAGCTGGAACTCGAGGAGGCTCCGGCGTATTCTCCACCAACGGTGGCGCCGGCGGTGGCGCCGGTGGTCTCGGGGCCTTACCCTTCTCCTTTGAGGCTGCTGCTTTTGCAAGGGACGCTCTGCGGGCGAAGGTCGCGGCATCCTCCGTGTCCATGAAGCCGAGGCGCACTCCTTCTATGGCCGAAAAAGGCATGTGGCGCGTCGGCACCACAGGATCCACCGTCGCCACCGGAGGTGTTGTTGTTGCCACCGGCGTTCCCACAGGGGCCGGCGTTGCCACAGGGGCCGGCGTTGTCAAAGGAGCCGGCGTTGTTGTAGTCGTGCCCTTCGGCGGCTTTGGAATCGCTGCTTTCGGACCCTTCGGCGGCTTTGGAACCGCTGCTTTCGGACCCTTCGGCGGCTTTGGAACCGCTGCTTTTGGAACCTTTGGAGCGGCAGCCTTCGGAGCGGCCCTCGGTGGAGGTGGTGCTGTCCAGATGTTGGGCGGCGCTGGCGCGGCCTTTGGCGGACTCTTTGGCGGACTCTTTGGCGGTGTGGGTGGCCCCTTTGGTGGTGTAATCGGAGACTTCGGTGGTGTGGCTGGCCCCTTTGGGGGCGTACTTGGCACCATAGCTGTTGAGCCTGGGGTCTTCGGTGGAGTCACAGGCTGCTGTGCCCCACGTATCGCGGATAACACCCCCTGCCTCCTTTCGCTGGCTCGCTGCCTGAACTGGGCTAGATCCGCAATTTTCTCCTGCATAACGGCGCCCTGGGAGCTGGCTGCGGGCGCACCCGAGCCAGGAGCAATGTTGGAGGCTGTGGTGCTCGACTCCACTTGCCCCAACACTCGTCCTCGTCCGTCTCCTCCTCCTGTGCTTCCACGCTCATAGGGACCGTGTTCGGCTCCGGCACGGGAGGCATAGGAGTTGTATCCGGCTCTGGCATGGGTGGCTTGAGAGGAGCCACTTTCCCACGCCATGCGTACACAGGAGTAGTCACGACCGGGCTGTCTGGAGAGTCTTGCCTGGCCAGTGCCTTGGCACCAGCCTTCGTAAGAGCGCCACGGGGAGAAGTCTCCGATCCTGGCAGAATCAACGGACTCGGCGGCTCCACCGGGCTGTCTTCGAAAAGGCTCGCAAAACTCATCGGCGGACTCTCTTCCACCTCTGCTGTCGGCAAGTCCGGCTCTGTGAGGTGAGGAGACAATTCGGGGGAAGAGACCGGAGTCGGCAGCGCCACGTCGTTGGAGAGCTCCGTCTGCTCCGCCGGCAACCTTTGAACCCGGAAGGTCGAGTTCTCCATGTCCTGGTCCATCTCGTGGTCGGACCCAGCCATCGTCCCTTACAGGTTCTACTGGGCCTTCAGAGCAAGAGTGGGCTAGGTGAGACGAAGCGACCGACCGACCGACACGCGCTCCTACGGTTTCAAGCCCTACTCCTACACCTACAGGGTGAGACGGGACGGGACAACAGAACTCACGCTTCCCTTCTCAACCGACTGCACGGAACCATCAGTAGAATCAGGCTCAACGTAGGTACAAGCTTTCAGCCACGACGTGTTGGCATACAATTCTGTCTCAAAGCGCAGACCACCCGGAGGATAGGCAACATGTAACTGAGGATCATAGTCATAATGAAAGATACTAAAGCCTAAAGACTGCAAGATGCCTGAGCTAAGGATGCTTATCGAATTGGGGGCAATATACGCTTCCAGCTGCACTCGAATCTCTCTGTAAGCTTGGGTTCCAGAGGGCCCCTCTTCGAAACAAGGGAACCAAAGCTCTAGCAACCCATACCTAGTTATCTCCATAGTCTGGTCGTTGGCGACACTTACAAAGAGAGGCTCAACCTCAAGCTCTCGGATCAGCTTCGCAGTCACTCCAAGCATGTCTTGCGAAACAAGGTGAACACTCCCACCGCTATCAATCAAAAGATACGAGGGGTCGTCCCTAGTGACTGCAGGAAGTGCCAAAGTTGGAAAAGCAAGGCACTCTGAAGACCGATCCCGAAGCTGAGGCTGCGGCGCGGAAGCAAGGCTCAAAGCAATCACTGCTACGGCTACGCAAGCATACGTGAAACATGACTGCCGTGGGCTAATCAAGCATGCAACCAACCGACAAATCAAGCATCCTACCATGCAAAACATGAAAAACGTGAAAATCAAGGCAGTCATGGTGAAAAACTGTCCCCTCTCAGGCATTGCTTCAGAAATCTGCCCTGCCGCGGGCAACAGTGACGACATAAGGAGGGCCGCTTTGCCAATCTTCCCAGCACCCTTTGGAGCAGTGGGAGCTGGCGCCGCAGTCGAGGAAGGTGCAGGAGGGGCCACCTTGGGAGCGGCACTCTCTGTTGCCGCCGCTGCTGTCGCAGCAGCCTTCTCATCGGCAATCCTCTTCCTGCACTCGTTGGCCCAATGGCCCGGCTTGTGGCAGTAATTGCAAGTGCCCGGCTTCTTCTTTCCAGGAGCCGGCGTTGCAGATCGTGGCCTTCCGCCCTTCTTGCCATCTTTGCCTTTGTCCTTTCCTTTTCCTCCTTTGTCTTTGCCTTTGCCTTTATCACCATGCTTGCCTTGGCCTTTTCCATGATCTTTTCCTTTGGGCTCGCCACCCTTGGGCTCACCCTTTTCAGAACGGTCACCACCAAAAGCTGCAAAGCCCTTGGCGTTCGAGGCTTCCTTGTGAAAGTTCAAAACACGAAGCTGCTCATCATAGAAAACCAAATCGCGCTCAAGCTGCTCCAACGTTGTCAAAGACCCATGCAACAAAAGGTACTTCTTGCAATCATCATGAAGGTGCTTCAAGATGCAGCTGATAACATCAGCCTGCTGCAGTTCAAGGTCTGGGTACTTGTTGGCAACGAGCGTGCGGTAGCGAGCAAAATCAGAAATCATATGGCGCAAAATATCCAATGGCCGTCTCAAGTGCTTTGGTGGCGCGATCAAGAGAGCCTGCTCTCTGAGCGCCTGTCCCTCCACACGAGACCTAACAGACAGTTCTTTGTTCAACTCACGCCAGAGGTCGTACCCTGCAGCGGCACCGCCTTGACTCAACTCGACAAGCTTGGCTATGTCAACTCCTCACTGAAAACCAGCGAGAGCCTGCTTCAAGAGGTACCACAGCTTAGTGGAACGAGCGGCCTTCCCCTTTGAGAGGCTGATCTGCTGAACCTGAACACCGCTCTCGACAGTCTCTTGCAGTTCCTCCGCGTAGCGGTCGTCTAAAAGACACAGCCAGGAGGTCAGTTCTTCGCGGTAAGCGGTCCACGTGGAGATTTCCTCATGGCGAGATCTCATCTTGTCTGCTGCCAACTTTGGCAGGGACGGAATGTAGTTTTCCACCCTGTTGCTGCGCAAGTCTGTGTCCACATCCATCTTCACAACACCATCAGAGTCAACTCTGATGGCACCCAGGCTTCCAAGAGCTTCAGCGGGCGTCCCTTGGGACGACTTGCAGCAACAGGAGCTGCACTTGCGGCCGAACTTGCAGCGTTTGCACTCGCAACGGCGAGCGTCTTCACCATCTCGGTGAGCTGCGAAATCTGGCCCTGCTGAGCTCGGATCTGTTCATCCTGAGCTTGCAACATCTGCTTGAAAAGGTTGACAGTGTTGTCTTCTGGACAGGCACAGATGCCTGCTGAGGATTCCCTCCTCCGTGAGGGAAAGTCGGTTGCGTTCCAAACTGAGGCTACTGCTGCTGCTGAAAACCCTGCTGCAAAGGAACCTGTTGAGGCACCTGTGGAAAAGGCACCTGAGGCACTTGACTCACAAGAGGTCTGGGTCTACTTACAGAACGGTGTACTGTCGGACTGTTCCGAGCAGGGAGGGCCTTCCACGAGTCCGCAAGCCAGGCGCACCACTTCGCCCTGAACTCCGTCCTCTTGGCGGCTAGACTCGGCTCGTGTGTCCATGGCTCTGAGGAGCAACCTTGAGCTCCGCACCACGTTAAAACCCAAACGCGCCTTGAGGCACACTTTAGGTTTACAGAGGAGGCCCTTCCAAGCATCCTAGAGAACAGCTTCCGGAATTGGCTCCGTAATTCGAGCGTTCTTTTGGCCCATGTGTTGCAACGATGTCCGACGTGGAAGCACCTCCTGTTCCACCCCCTCAAAGAGTGGAGTTGTGAAAAACAGAGCGCGCAGCACTCGGTCTTTTTCTTGAGCCAAAGCGGAGTCGCGTCGGGCTCTGACTGACAGTGAAACACCTTGCAGCTGTCTGTCTCCAAGCAAAACACTTCAAGCACTAACGAAACGAGACGAAACGAACGTGCAGTCACTTCCTAACTCAAAAGCACTCCTCACAGCTTCAGGCATGCCGAAAACATCAGGACATCCAAGGTCAAATGGGATTTTCACAATCTGTGCAGAGTTAGACCCTGTCGTAGCAGTGCTAATGCCATCCGTATTCTACAGTCGGTCAGCGGCTGCAGGTGTGGCTCAGTACCACTGTAGAGTGCGATGGCAGCACACGCAGTTTCAGATTCCTTGATGACTTGCAGTTTGCAGTTTGGCATGCTCCAGATGTGTGTGTTCAGATAAGAAAAAGGCAAGTGTGGAGGTGCTGCGGCTTTTGCCTGCGAGCCTTTTACTGCCAGTTAGAAAGTGCCAGGACCAAGGCAGATGTAAAGGTGCTGCGGCTTTCGCCTGCGATCCTCTACACTGCCAGTTAAAAAAGTGCAAGGGCCAAGGCAGATGTAGAGGTGCTGCGGTCTTTGCCTGCGATCCTCTACACTGTGCAACGGCCAAGGCCAAGGCAGATGTAGAGGTGCTGCGGCTTTTGCCTGCGATCCTCTACACTGTACAACGGACAAGGCAGATGTAGAGGTGCTGCGGCTTTCGCCTGCGATCTTCTACACTGCCAGTTAAAAAGTGCAGCTAAAGCAGATGTAAAGGCGAGGTTGTGGGTCTTCATGACCAAATTTGTTTCTGCAAGCAGCAAAATTGGCCGGCATGCAGTTTTGCAAGCGTCCAATACCGAATCCCTGTGAGGTGCTGCTAGGAGTGCATTTACAGATCCCGAAACAATTTTGGGTGCTGCAGTTTTCGGCCGCAGGCCGCCAGCCTGCCAAGGACTCAGAGAACGAACGCTCCACTTGCCCATTCGACTGCACTTTGCTTCTACACCAGGTATGGAAGATGGAAGTGGGCATTCTTGATGCCCTTCGAAAGGCGCGCCAGCTCTGAGAGTTAAGCTTGGAGACTGCCGTACTTCGTGCCCAACTGTGAGCGTTGAGAGTGCAGAAGAACACAAGTAGGTCAGGCCATTCGACTGCACTTCGCTTCTACACCAGGTATGGACCGGTATGGAAGATGGAAGTGGGCATCCTGGATGCCCTTCCAAAGGCGCGCCAGCTTAGAGTTAAGCGGGTTCAAGATTCAGGGACAGACGCTGTTCCTACGGTTGATGGACAAAATCCTGCATTATCCAGTATAAGAAATCTACCATATAATTCCCATAGTTTAGGGTCCTTAGGGTCATGCAGGATTTTGTCCATCAACAGTAGTACCAGCGGCAGTGCGCTCGTAAAAAAAAATAGGTTATCACGTGTTCTATCTATTTGGCGCTGTTTTGCGGGCTTGGTTGATTTGGGTAGCGTTTTCCAATGCAAATCGCAAAGCTTCAAAGCCTGTCGGCTTGTCAGACCTAAAGTATCAAACCCTAAACCTTCAAAACCTTAAAGTAGGGCTCAACAAACCTGCACGAAATCGGCCCTTCCCAAGGTCTGTCGTGC